AATTTTCCCTACGAAGAGAGTGGTTGGCCTGCTCTTTCCCGAGACAATCAAGCAGCCTCCTGATCCAAAGGGCCAGCTGCGTCCTCAAGGTATCACACCTCCATAACCCAGGAAGGATGCAGCCAGCACGGATCGATCTCCTGCCCTCCCTAGTGCCATGGCACAGTACTGGTTGCAAAACTATTCACACCAGTAAAAACAGCAACGACAACGACTAAGGGGATTCAACGATTCAACAGCCACTCCTAGCCAGATTCTGTGATTCTGTGACAAGGAACGTTCATGGGGGGTTAGGAGACTTTTGAACAATTCAGAGTGACTGGGAAGGACAGCAGCTGTTCTTGGGCTCTCTGCAGAGCAAGCTCCATAAATAGGTTTGCTGACACTACTAAAAATTGCTTTTAGTAACTTTTTTGCATTCTGAAAGAATATACGCTCATTCTCTCTTAAAGTAGCTAAACTTTGGAAACAACCCAAATGTCCTAAACCAACTGTGTATCATTTGTCTTAGTCAGGGTTTCTATTGCTGTGAAGAGACACCACGACCATGGCAACTCATACAAAGAAAATGTATTAGGGTGTAATTAGGGTGGTGTAAGCACAGTTTCAGAGGTTCAGTCCACTATCATGGCGGGGAGCATGGCTGCGTGCAGGCAGATGTGGTGCAGGCTACATCTTGATATGTAGGCCACAGGAAGTCGACTGTCACACTGGGCAGTATCCTGAGCATACTTCACAGCCCGTCCGGACAAGGCCATATCCATTCCAACAAAGCCACACCTCCTAATAGTGCCACTCCCTATGAGATTATGAGGACCAATTACATTCAAACTACCACCAGCCTCTCCTGGGCTCCCTTTACGGTGTCGACCCTCAGCTTCTCAGCCTGACCCGTTTCATCAACTGCTGCTGAGGCCGCACGATCACCATCGGTCTCCCCTGGCCTCTCACAGTACCATGCCTCAGCTGCTCTCCATGACCTCCTCATGCGTTCAAAACCAGTACCACCTGGGGGACTCTTACACGACCACATCTGGCTGCCAGCTCAAGTTATAGCCTAGGCTGCATTTAGAACACTTTCTGAGTTCTGACCCTGAGGAGACAGCTCCCAGAAGATTTCACCTCCACGATGCTGGTCTCTTAATCACGGCTAATTTCTTAGCTCCAGCTAACTAGCGTCAATTGTCCCAGCAAGTTGAAGCAAAGCAAAATAATATCACAAATATTAAATCAAATAAGGTAAAGAGCTATATTTGCCATAAACAAATAAACAAATCAATAAGAAAATGTTTTATCTTAGTGGTTCTGTTCTCCTGTCAATCACAGCTGATTCCTCAGCTCCAGCTGACCAGACACTACAGATTTTTACACAGATAACCCGGTAGAGTCTTTGCTTCCCTCGGAGATGTCACAAGCCAGGTTTCCATTGGCTGCACTGCTCTCAACGTTCTTATCTCCCAAGCTCCTACAAAACAGCCCGCTGAGCTCTCCACACTCAGTGGTTCTTCTAGCCCAAAGTTCCATGATCCTCCCCGAGACAACATGATCGGCTCTGTCACAGCAATCCCCGACTTTTCTGTACCAATTTCTGCCCTAGTTTGGGTTACTATTTCTGCAGTGAAACACCATGACCAGAGAAGGGTTCTTTTCAGTTTCTACTTCCATCACTGAGGGAAGTCAGGAAGGGAACTCAAACAGAGCTGGAACCTGGGGCAGGAGCCTGGAGGCAGGAGCTGATGCAGAGGCCATAGAGGGGTGCCGCTTACTGGCTTGCCTCCCATGGCTTGCTCAGCCTGCTTTCTTAGAGCACCCAGGACCATCAGCCCAGGGATGGCATCACCCACAGTGGACTGGGCCCTCCCCCATCAATCACTATTTAAGAAAATGCCTTACAGCTGGATCTTAGGAGGCATTCTTCTCAATTGGCATCTCCTCCTCAGATGACTCTATTGTGCCAAGCTGACATAAAATTAGCCAGCTAGCTAGCTAAATAAATAGATGTTTGTTTTCTTTTTTAAAGAAAGGGCTCCGTGACGCAAATCTGTAATCTTAGCATCCAGAAGGAGGAGAAGAAACTCAAGGTCAGATGTCTTCAAGGCCAGCCTGAGCTGCACACGGACCTCTCCAAAAACAATATACTGTCCCTGTCCCTCCTTCACTGGTGGTGAAGGTCATGCGAACACTTTGGACAGAGACCACGCTTTCCTCACAAAGGCAAATGCAGCTCTTTACCTTACCACCCGGCAATTCCACGCCAAGGTACACGCCCAAGAGAACCGAAAACATCTGTCCACATAGCATTTCCACCTGCGTTTCACAGCAGCTCATTCGACCCAGCCAGAAGGTGTTCCCACCCGCCGGTGACTGGATCCACAGGAGAATGTGATTGCCCACAGTAAGGAAAGGGCACATCACGGGGAAGGAATCTTGGTGATTGCCCACAGGAAGAAAGGAATGCAGACACGTTACGGGGAAGGGATCTTGCAAACACAGCAAGGGAAAGACGGCAGACACCGAAGACCATGCGCTACACCGTCCCCTATACCGTCCCCCTCATAGGAGATACCCAGAGTAGATAAATCCAGACTATGATGAAAATCAGTGGTTGACCAATTTCACAAGAACTTTAAAGTGGCCATTTAGTAGTTTTGTTTTTTTTTTTTTTTTTTTTTTTTTTTTTTTTTTTTTTTGGATTTTCAAGACAGGGTTTCTCCGTAGCTTTTGGTTCCTGTCTTGGAACTAGCTCTTGTAGACCAGGCTGGCCTCGAACTCACAGAGATCCGCCTGCCTCTGCCTCCCGAGTGCTGGGATTAAAGGTGTGCGCCACCACCGCCCGGCCATTTAGAAGTTTTGAATATCAATAGAGAATAATTTCTTGGCTTTCCAAATATTTACCATAAAATTCTTTTTTTTTTTCGAGACAGGGTTTCTCTGTAGCTTTGGAGCCTGTCCTGGAACTCCCTTTGTAGACCAGGCTGGCCTTGAACTCACAGAGATCCGCCTGCCTCTGCCTCCCGAATGCTGGGATTAAAGGCGTGTGCCACCACCGCCCGGCTCGTAAAATTCTTTTTATTGAAAATAGATTTTTCTCCTACAATAATCCTGTTTCCTTTCCCTCTACGTCTAGCTCCTTTCCACCTCCCCTCCCATCCAGATCCACTCCCTTTCTGTTCCTCCTTAGAAGAGAACAGGATTTGTTCTGTGGTTTTTGTTTATTTGTTTTGTTTTTGTTTATTGAGACAGGGCTTCTCTCTGTAACAGTCCTAGCTGTCCTGGAACTGGCTCTTGTAGACCAGGCTGGCCTTGAACTCACAGAGACCCACCTGTCTCTGCCTCTTGAGTGCAGGGATTAAAGGATTAAAGGCGTGCGCCACCACCACCCGGCTGTTCTGTGTATTCTGTGTGTATGAGAGTGTGCCTGCATGAGTGCGTGCATGTACACCCTGTGTGTGCAGTGCTGGAGGAGTCCAGAAGAGGGCATCCAATCCCCAGTTACTGGAGCTACAGCCGTGTGTGTGTGTGTGTGTGTGTGTGTGTGTGTGTGCTGGGTCCTGAACTCAAGCCCTCTGCGGGAGCACAGGTGCTCTTAACTGGGGCTCAATCTTTGTAGCCCAAGTCCTTGAGGGTGAGCAAATGCTGTAGAACAAGATAATTACTGTGGTTGCACAAACTTGCAAATGTACTAAAACCCAGTGACTTTTAGACTTAGGACAATTACAAATGCAGACTTTTTAAAAATGATTTTTATTACTTTTAATTATGTGGGTGTGTGAGTACAGTGCCTCAGAGACAGGGAAATGGGATGCGCTCAGAACAGGACTATGCGTGGTCCTGGGAGCTGGTAATGAAAACTGGGTCCTCTATAGAGGATTTCCATCCCTGAAAAATACAAAATGTTCCAACAGGAAAAGGAAGGACTCTGCAAAGCGGGAACTGATATTTCATTTATTTTTTTTTCACTTTTACATTTTTTTTTAGATTAGAGTACATTTTTTTATGTGTCCAGCAGGGATGGGGAGAAGCGTGGTAGAATAACTAGGAACTAAAAGTATACAGTTCAGTAGGCGAACACTTTATTGGGATGTGTGAAGCCCTGAGTTCCATTCCCAACTCCACAAAAACAATACGTTCATTATAACAAAAGTCAGAAACTTCTCCAAATCACCACCTCAGATCTTGGGAACACTTCAAGTAACCCAGGTTTCAGGAATGTGGGTCACGCTCTGGACCTGTTTTTGCCACCATCGGAAAGAATGTCTCCAACAAACGCGCCTCCCCGCCCCAACACACACGTAAGCTGGCCTGGCTGACCCCAAGGAAAGTAACTTTAGCCCTAAAAATGTCCTTCTCACCTCCCCGCCAGAACGGGACGTCCTAGCCGGTTGCTAGCCTTCTAGAGTAGCTTCGGGAGGCGGAAGGCAGAGGCGAAAGGCAGAGACGGGGACCAGGACCGGGAGTAACTGGGGTGGAGAGAGGTGTAGGGGCGCAGAGGCGTGGGGCAGCACGTGAGCGTGGTGCTGAATGAGCATCAGGGGTGGAGCAGTTCGCGAGTGGGGGTCATAGGAGGAACTTGGAAGGGACTGGGCGGTGCCCTGGAGCCACGGGGCGGAGCGTTGGAGCTCCGGGGCGGAGCGCTGGAGCTCCGGAGCGCCGTGTGTTAGTGCGCAGGGGCGGAGCGCGGGCGAGAGCGCTCAGCGTTACAGAGGCGGAGCGTGGAGGGCTCGGGGGCGGGACGCAGGAGCTGGGCTCTGGAGATTGGGGTGGGAGAAGGGGAGAATTTAGGAGCAAGGTGTAGGGGCTGATTCTGAGCAAGGAGATCGCAGGAGCGGGCGTCAGGGCTGGGTGCTGAGGCTACTCGGGCGGAGTGTGGACAGCGCTGAGACAGGAGCATAGCGCGGGAGGCAGACACAAGGCGTGGAGAGCTCAGGGGCGGGGATTAGGGAAATCAGGGAGGGGTGTGGGGGCGCAGAGTAGGAACGGGGAGAGCTCAGGGGCGGGATTAGAGAGCGCAGGGGTGGACCCGGGAGAGCTCAGAGACCGGTAGCAGAGAGCACAGGGGTGGGGTGGACGTTGAGAGCCTTGGGATGAGACGGCGGTGGCTTGGTCTGTAGCCTGGGCGGGGCTGGGACGCAGGCGGGACCCGTGGGTACTCGAGCCCCGGGCGTCTAGATGCCCAGACAGAGGCGACCGCGGGCTCGACTTGGCCTCGACCTCTCTGCACCTTTGTCCCTGTGCACCCTGGCCGTCTGCCCTTCGTCCCTAGCCGGCCATGCCATCCCCCGCACCTCCCACCGTGCTGCTGCCGTGGGAGCGCGCCGTGGTACTGCTGTCGTGCGTGCTGTCAGCGCTGGGCTCAGGCCTCTTGGTGGTCACGCACGCCCTGTGGCCTGACCTGCGTAGCCGGGCGCGGCGCCTGCTACTCTTCCTGTCGCTAGCGGACCTGCTCTCGGCTGCCTCGTACTTCTACGGGGTGCTGCAGGACTTTGCGGGGCCTTCGTGGGACTGCGTGCTGCAGGGCGCGCTCTCTACTTTCGCCAACACCAGCTCCTTCTTCTGGACTGTGGCCATCGCTCTCTACCTGTACCTCAGCATCGTCCGAGATGCGCGCGGGCCCAGCACGGACCATCTGCTCTGGGCTTTTCATCTCATCAGGTGAGTGGGAGACGCTGCTTTGCCTCCAGGCCCCAGACCCAGGCTTACTGGTCCCTGGCCTTGCTTACTGCACTGTGGCCCTCGTGCGTCCTCTATCTAGGTGGCAAGGTGGCTTGTTCTACTGATGGTCATGCCCCCCCCCGGGCATCCCGGAAGCATGGAAGGATGCCCTGCTTGCCCAAGAGATTGGAGTCAACGTGTTAGAGCATCTCTGAAGCGGGTGGTCGGTGGTGTCTGCCCCAATTGGAACCTTCAGGCAAGGTGGGGGTGGGTGCAGAGCTTGCCCACAGGGGTGAGCCCTGCCATTTAGAAAGGAACTGGGAACAACGACACTGTGCCTTTGCCTCCTTCTTCACCGTGACTTGGCAGTCTCTGCTGCCTGTGGAGAGAAACCCCGATACGTAGGCTGGGAGATGATTAGGTGTCTGTCCTGGCGGAAGAGCCCACAACTTCCAATTCTCTACCACAGTGGGTGTGGTACATCCAGCCACTCCCAGACCACAGTGTCTCAACCATAAAACACACAAGTGTATGCTTTTTAAGTTTTTCATGCCGTTTATAGACTTTGGGCCCCAGTCACTAGAATTTTTATTCTAAGGTTTTTTAAAGATTTATTAATTTTATTTTATGTGTGAGTATTGACTGCATGTATGTATGTGCATCACATGTATGTAGGTGTACTTGGTGCCCTTGAAGGTCAGAAGAGGGCATCAGCCCCTCCCCCAACTAGAGTTACAGGTGGTTGTGAACCATCATGTGGGGGCTGGGAATTGAACCTAGGTCCTCTATAAGAGCAACAAGTGCTTTTAACCACCAAACTTCCTGTCTAGTCCCTCCTAGGAGGACTTGACTGCCTAGAATTATTCAGGATCTTCAAAACTGAGGTCAGTGGCAAAGGGCTGGTCAGGATCAGGGCTGTCAGCCACCTGGAGTCTCTGAGAGCGAGGAAACGAAGGCCTTTGCCGGCCTGTCTTGCCCTGTCCTGCCGTGCTTTCAAGCATGTCAGCAAAAAAGCTGTACCCAGAGGCCAGCTTCACCTGTGTCTTTTCAGAGTTCCAAACTCCTGGTGTCCTGTGCTGAACCCAAGGCAGGAATCCTAAGGCCGTTTCCTTGTCTCTTTGCCTGAGCGCAAGGCCCTGGAGTCTGCCCTAATTATAGGTCCTTTCTAAAACTTTGAGTGCTTTCCAAGGGCTAAGAGGGTAGTCAGCGCTTCAGTAGAGACAGGTCACCTGGTTGTCACACGCTGAGACAAGCTGGGAAGAGTCACTTGACCTGCTGCTCTTGCAACTGTTGGAAGGAGACCAGCTGGTCCCAAAGAAATGAAAGAGCCCACTTCTCAGCTGCTCAGGCAAAATCTTTGTACCATGTCATTCCCAGTGGGGGGGACCTACTGCAAAGGGGACTCGGTTTCTCTGCCCTCCAACACACATCAAATACCAACTATGTCAGAGACCAGAAGTCTTCCATGGTAGGATTGGAGTCTGAACACAGTTGGTCATTGGCACCTGAAAAGGGGCCCAAGTTGGACCTCTCTTTGCAAGAAGTTCTCCTGACTGCACTCTTTCCAAACTGATGAATACGATCTATTTTTTAAGCAAAGGAACAGGGCCTTCTCTGTAGCCCCTACAGCCTGATTTTCCTAGCCAGCCTGAGCTGGGAGTGCCCTGCTCAGTTCTCATCAGCGACCCTCTAGGAAGGTTCTGGGATGCTTGGGGAAGTTTTCTAGGGAAGGCCTGTGTTCCAGAGACTCGCTGGAACCTGCTCAACAGGTTCAGTTATGACCCAGATCCTGCCACACTGGTTGCTAAGGCCTCTCCGCTCTATAGCCTTGGAATATTTGGTCATTGCTGCCGAAGGATCTGTGATATGAAGAATCCTCCTCCCTGGACACAGGCTACCTGACTACCTACTCTGTGTTTGTTGAGTTATTAGGCAAGGCCTCCCTGTAACCCTGGCTGGCCTGGAACCTCCTATCTCTGCCTCCCACAGGTGCTGAGATTAAAGGTGTGCGCTGCCACGCCCATCGATGATCCATTCCCCCTCATCCCCTGGCTCACTACTAAAACTCAAGCCTCTTCTTCAAGTCTTCCAGCCTTGGAAAGGATTTTAATTTTTTTTAATTTTCTTTTTTTTTTAAAAAAGATTTATTTATTTAGTATATATACAACATTCCTTCCATATGTGCTTGCAAGCCAGAAGAGGGCACCAGATCAAATTATAGATGGCCGTGAGCCACCATGTGGTTGCTGGGAATTGAACTCAGGACCTCTGGAAGAGCTGTCAGTGTTCTTAACCTCTAAGCCATCTCTCCAGCCCCTTTTTTCTATTTTTTTTCTTTTTCTTTTCGAGACAGGGTTTCTCTGTAGGTTTTGGTGCTTGTCCTGAACTAGCTCTTGTAGACCAGGCTGGCCTTGAACTCACAGAGATCCGCCTGCCTCTGCCTCCCAAGTGCTTGGATTAAAGGCGTGCACCACCACCGCCCGGCAGAATTTTAAAATGATAACAGTACACGTGGTGGCTATCTCTCCGTGAAGGGTTCTGAAGAACAGTCGGGGTTGATGGCACATTCCTGGAACCCAGAGGAGGTAGAGGCGGGAGAGTCAGGAGCTCAAAACCTGCTTCAGTGCTATTTAAACGTCAGGTCAGTCCGCCATGCTGGGCTGCACAGGATCCTGTCCCCACCCACCCACCCACCCCCAAACAGTAGTTACTGGGAATTGATCATATAACAGGGTGGCATTTTCTCATTAAATTAGAACAAGAAATAGTAAGAATCAGAAGTAATTTCATTGTTCAGCAGTAAGGGAAGCAGTAAGTTAAGGGACTTCCTCTCCTTCCTCCCCAAAATGCCACCCAGCTGGTGATGCTGGTGGCCTGTGCTCTAACTCATGTGTTTAATGGCATGATAGCATGTGGTACGGAAAAGGAATCTTGATGGCTCGTTTTCTGGAAATGCCAGGGACTGAAGCTGGTGCTACCTCCCCAGACCTGAGAAATCCCATCTCTAAAAACAGCTACAGGCATGAAACACAGAATCCCAGAGAGGCCGTGCACACACAAGTTCCCAGGAAAGCAACCATGAGGCCCCAGTGCCTTCCTCTTAGTACTCAACAGGGTCCCATCCCCGGGGACCTTTCTCTGTGACTGGAGGAGGACAGCTGAGACCCCATCATCTGGCTCCCGAAGCCTTCACAAAGAGCTGCCCCATTATTAGATCACCCATGCTCCAGCCAGATGGGCGGGGCCATCACCCACCACTCACAGAAGACAGATGGCCCAAGCCACAGAGCTAGGAAGTCGGGGGGCGGGGGGGGGGGGGCGCAGGGGTAGATGCTAATTCTGACCCTGAGTCTGTGCGTTTCATGACTCTACCTGGCTGGGATAACAATGACTTTAAGAAAACTTATTTATGCTGTGCAGGTTTCCCAGTTGTTAGCATTTTGTGTTCTCCCATTATTTTTCTTGAGTAGACGCGATGTCACCCCGTGTGTATGCTTATGTTTGTGGCTTTCCCGCAGACGCACACATACCAACACATAACCGGCAGGGTGGCACTGCCACCTGATTGGTGGACTTCGTCGCTGAGGAAAATTCTGAATTACACGTTAACCTATTTTCCATGTCTTCTTATCCCCTTGCAAATCTTCCGTTTCCCCATCTGTCTTCTTTATAACTCTGACTTTAAATTTTATTTTTACTTATTGCTTAGGGGGGCTGTGTGTGTCATGGCACCTGTGTGTAGAGGTCAGAAGGCAAACAACTTTGTGGACTTCGCTCTCGCCTCCCACCTTTTTGTGGATTCAAGGGATTGAGTCACCAGGCTTTACGCCTGAGTCATCTTGCTAGCCCAACCTTGGCTATTTTGTTCACTTACTTTTGTTTCTGTTTCTGAGTCCGGTCCTCCTGCCCCACCTCCCTAGTGCTGTGATTAGAGGGATGAGTGCCTCTCTACCCGTTCTCTGCAGTGCCGAGGGTCGGGATGAGACCCAGGCAAGTGCTCTACCAACAGAGCTAAACCCCAGCTCATAGTTATGTTTTGTTTAGGCGGGGCCTTCGTGTGTAGTCTAGGCTGGCCTGAAATTCACCATGTAGCCCAGGTAGCTTCAGACTCAGCCTCCTGAGTGCTGAGGTTACAGACACGTGTCACTGTCCTGGCTCATGACGTTGGCGTTGGGGAGAGTACAGCATGGTAGCTTGTAGGATGCCCTCAGTTTTTGTATGCCCGATGCTTCTTCACAGGGCTTAAAGTCTGCACTCTGGCAGGTTTCAGAAGCACTTTGGTGTTGACTTGGCTAAGGTCACATCTGTCAGGCATGGTGCAGTTATTTCCCTCTCTCTCACTCTCTGTTTGGATGTTTTGCCTGCATGTATGTTTGTACCACATGTGTGCAGTGCTCAAGGAGGCCAGAAGAGGGAATTGGAACTCCTGGGTCTGGAGTTACAGACAGCTTGGAGCCACATGTGGGAGCTGGGAATTGAACCCTGGTCGTCCGGAAGAGCAGCCAGTGCTCTTAACCATCTCTCCAGCTCTGCTTTTGCCTTGTCATTCCTTTAGTGCATCCGTGTGAATGTGTCTCTGTGGTCATTTATTTAGGGTACCCACCCCAGGCCAGGGCTGGAGTTGCCTGTATGGGCAATTTCCTATTCTTCCTCTATAGCAACTGTCTCCACCCTCAGCAGGGGCCAGCTAGCCACCCTCACCCCTGCCCCTGTTCTACCAGATCAGTTCTAGAGTCCTTGAAAAGGGCTGGGAGGTAGGGTGTTGTCTCTTGGGGTCAGAGGTAAGGGTCCTGACTGAGCTGGTCACCAGCAGTCTGGACTTCTGGCTCCACTTCTGGGTGTGACTGAATGCGGAACAGCTGTATTGCGCTCTCTCTCTCTCTCTCTCTCTCTCTCTCTCTCCACACACACACACACACACACACACACACACACACACACACACCCCTCTGGAGCTCCCTTGCATTTATGGAGGAAGAAAGAGTCTTATGTCCCAAGCT